CGTTTTTCGAAGGCCAATGCCAGTATCACCCAAACGAGAACATTGCCGATAATAGCAGCAGTACAAACAGGCCAGATTGCACGGCGAAGAACCCAAAGTCTGAAATTTAGAGGTGTAATGGACGAGAAGTTGAAAGAGGCTATTTGATTAGCCTCAATTTAAGAAGTGTCAAACAGTTTCCCTTTCTAGCACTTTTTTCTCTGCTCTCATTGACTATACCGCAAGTCAAATATTACCTATTCCATTCTAAAAGTTTAGTTGTGAGACCAGCTGGGATCTGCTTATTCGATAGATGCAACATATAATTGTGAGTCATGCATTACTCTCAGTTTCCCTTCCAATTTTTCCCTGTTTTATCGTAACTTCTTATCATTGCGGAATCTGCTGTTTAGGTAAAATAAATATATTCGGATGCAATCTCTATAAACAACTTATATAATTGAACCTATGACTTACCCTACTATATTTTCGCACGGATTGAATGCGTCAGGCTGCGGAGTACAAGTTATGTTTTGATAAAAACCTTGCACTGTAGCCACCTCTTCAACGGCCAAACAGCGCGTCGCTCCAATTTCTGACGGATCGAAAGCTTAAATTAAAACTTTCAATGATGGTCGAGTGAGTCAGAAAATATATGCGCTGACCCGGTGGATCTTCGTCATCATCTAGAAGCTCATCTGCATCACGTAACCATTGCTCGAATAAATCTGCCCACAAATCGCTGTTGGATGGACTGTGGGATATATTCATTGCCTTCAAGGTTTTCATTCTGAGCAACAAAACAGGGAGGATCAGTTAAGAAACTATGCATATAACATAGGACATCATTCACTATAAGATCACTGAATTTTTTAAAAATCAACTTTGAAGAGATTCAGAAGTTTTTAAAGTACTGGGTTCGCGTTATTCACTGCATTTGAGAATGCGTAAGATAAGGCAATCATCTCGCACTGCCTTGATTGTTATTGTTATTTTATTGAATTTCTTCTCTTTTGCAGTGGTTTTTTTTGAACATATCTGATTTTTACATTACACTTAAA